GTTCTTTTTTATTGCTATATAGAATTCCTTTATATGAATGTAACTACAATTTATCCATTCTATTGTTGATGGGCTTTTGAATTATTTCTAGTTTTTGACTATAATAAATAACGCTACAATGAACATTTTTACACATGCCTTTTAGTGGGCACATGTACTCATTTCTCATGGCTATATACCTAGGAGTAGAATTGCTGTGTCATGGTGCCTTGTTACTAGTTCCACACTCTAACCAAATGAGCTAACCTGCCAGCCCTGTCCATTTCTTATTGGGTTGCCTGTCTTTTATGTATACACACACACATTGGTTACAAGTCCTTTGTCAGATAAATGCATTACAAATATTTTCTTCCAGTTCATGGCTTGCCTTTTACTCTCTTTTAATGAAAAGAAGTCCTTAATTTTAATGAAGTCCAATTTATCCGTCTTTCCCTTTATGATTAGTGTTTTCTATCTATTTAAGACGTTTTTGCCTATCCCACTTCACTAATTTTTAAAAATTTGCAAGAACTCATATTTATCCCTATTTGCTTCAAATCCATTATTAAATATCTTCTTAATATATTTAGCTCATTCTTTTATTCCATGAAGAACTTTTTCAATATAATCTAGTAATTCAGTCTATTAGATGGCAGTCTGAGCTTTATGTTTTCTGTAGATTTTATAAGCATGCCTTTCTAGTCTTCACCCTAATCCTTCTCTAATTCATCATTCTATCTGAAGTAGGAAGATTCCTCCATTGTCACAACTTCAAAATCCACTTAGGATCATTGAATGTTGGGCCAATCTTTCTTTGATGGAGAAACTTTCTGCAGCATTGTGAATTTTTTAATTGTTTTTTTGTTTTGTTTCGTGTTTTTTATCCTAGGGCCTTATTATTATGATTCTTATTAATGATAACTGTATCCTTCCCTCTCCCTGCAAAAAACACCCTTGCTATTTGCAACCCCAATCGCCTTCTAGGCAGAGTGGGTTGCTATTTATAACCCTAATTTCCTTCTTGGCAGGGTGGAAGGTCCTTTGTTCTGGAGATCAACTAGATGCGGACAGGATCAGGGAAGAGCTAAAGTTCTCCAGAGGAGAGAAGGAGATATTATGAGGCTATTAAATAAAACGAAGTAGATCTCCATATTTCGATTTAGAAAAAAAAAATGGCCAAGATATAATGTTAATTTTAAAAGGCAAGAGGCAGAATAAGTAGAACATAATCTTATTTTTGTTTAAAAATTAAAAGCATCCAACCAAAGAAAAAAACTGTGGATATGTGTTTATATGTTTGAAAAAGTAGAGAAAGATATGCAATAAATTGGTGATACATATGACTCAGGAGAAGTGAGATTAGATGAGGCAGGCAGGAGGGGAAAATAGGGTTCATTTCTACTTTAATGTTGGAATTGTTTTAATAAATTTTTATTTACTAAACAATTTTTTCCTTTTTTTTTAAAACAATTCTTTTCAATTATAGAACTTAAAAAATACGTCATGGGAGACTATGTTGATTAGGTAGGTGTAGATCAGGATCAGATAAGATTACGGAGGATTTTGGAGAATTTCAAAGGTCTCCCATTGTGTCGTTTAGGAAGATTAGAGGATTGGCAGGATGCCAAATGGATTGCAATCCATCGTAATGCCTAAGGAGATAAATATATATACAAATGTATATATATATATATATGGTATTGACTACAGAGGAAGAAGTAAGTTCCAGAGACATTTCTTTTTCTTTTTTTTTTAAAGATGACCGGTAAGGGGATCTTAACCCTTGACTTGGTGTTGTCAGCACCACGCTCAGCCAGTGAGCGAACCGGCCATCCCTACATGGGATCCGAACCCGTGGCCTTGGTGTTATCAGCACCGCACTCTACCGAGTGAGCCACAGGCCGGCCCTCATTGAATTTTTTTATTTAAAAAGTAATACATGTTCACTGTGGTAAGTTTTTAAAAACTCGACGGTATATATAAAAGTTAAATTTTTGCAAATCACCACTTCATTTTCTACCCTGTATTAACAAAAAGGCAGTGTGATGTACGGGTAAAGTGTGCAAGGGCCAGACCCCTTGGGGTCATATCCTGGCTTTGACATTTCCTAAGCCATATGACCTGGACAAATTATTAAACTTCTCTGTTTCTCAGTTTCATTATCTGTAAAGTGGGGAAGATAATAATACTTATATCCAAATAAAAAAGAAATAAAGAAAAAATAATAACAACAAAGAATAATACTTAAGATATAAATGAGAATTTGGGGGGAGGGGGCAGCTGGCAGGTATGGGGATCTGAACCTGTGACCTTAGTGTTAGCAGCACCACACTCTCCCAAGTGAACTAACCGGCCAGTCCCCTACAAGGTATAAATTAATTAAAACATGTAAAGTATTTGGAATGTTGCCTGGCATGTAGCAAGCCCTCGATATTTGTAAGCTGTCATTTTAACTAATATGTATAAAAGGGCTGGCCAGTTAGCTCAGTTGGTTAGAATGTGGTGCTGATAACATTAATGTCCAGGATTCTCTCCCAGTACTGGCTAGCTGCGCCCCCCCACCTCAAAAAAATAGTAGATAAGAACTATATATTTCCTTTTTTTTTTTTTTTTTTTAAAGATGACCGGTAGGCCGGCCCGTGGCTCACTCGGTAGAGTGTGGTGCTGATAACACCAAGGCCACGGGTTCGGATCCTATATAGGGATGGCCGGTTTGCTCACTGGCTGAGCGTGGTGCTGACAACACCAAGCCAAGGGTTGAGATCCCCTTCCCGGTCATCTTTAAAAAATAATAATAATAAAAATAAATAAATAAAAGATGACCGGGAAGGGGATGTCAACCCTTGGCTTGGTGTTGTCAGCACCACGCTCAGCCAGTGAGCAAACCGGCCATCCCTATATAGGATCCGAACCCGTGGCCTTGGTGTTATCAGCACCACACTCTACCGAGTGAGCCACGGGCCGGCCTAAGAACTATATATTTCCTGACCAAAATGTAAGCTATTATAGAAGGGGGAGTAAGCTTTCCTACAAAAACATTTTTTTAAGACAGGTCTTTTGTTGTTGTTGTTTTGTTTTTGTTTGGTTGGAGTTTTTTTTGTTTGTTTTTTTAAAAAGATGACCGGTAAGAGGATCTTAACCCTTGACTTGGTGTTGTCAGCACCACACTCTCCCAAGTGAGCCACGGGCCAGCCCCTGGTTGGGTTTTTTTAAATAATCACTATATAACCCTTGGCTTGGTGTTGTCAGCACCACACTCTCCCAAGTGAGCCACGGGCCAGCCCCTGGTTGGGTTTTTTTAAATAATCACTATATTAACATGGTACTTTATTTAAAAATCATCAAAGTATACACAGTACCATGTAAGTCTCTTTCCCACCCCATCTCCCAGCCATCCAGTCCCCTACCCAGAGACAACCAATATTACAGGTGTTTGTGTATACTTCCAGGGATAGTCTATGTATTTACAAATATATATTTCTTTAGCTCCCACTTTTAAAAACACACACAAATGGAAGCATAACATACACAATGTTCTACACCTTTTCTTTTTTCACCTAATGTATGTGTTTCCACTGACATGTAGTATTGTTATCGTAGTGACATGTTTGTATTCTGCAATGGCTAATGCAGTGCTTTCCAGCTAGAGAGAATCCAAAGCATACTCCACAGAACTATACTTTCAGTGCTGGAAGAAAACTTAAAAGAGACCAGGCGGTCCACCTCTTATTTCATAGATGAGATAATTAACATACAGAAAGTCAAAATGACTTGCAGAAGGCCTTACGACTAATATAAATATAATAAAGGAATGAATGAGTGAGCCACCTTAAAGCCACAGCATTTCAATGAATATACATATAGTTAAAATGTTAAGATATTATAAGTGTAAAAATAAATAGGATTGCCTGTAGAGTAGTGATAACCAGTCTCCATCCGGTGTATTCCAGTTTAAAAAATGATCACACACATTAGTTCACATACTACTCTCAAAGCTAACAGGTAGCCCTTGTCTGCATTTTACATAAAGTAAAACAAGCAGTTTTTTTTTTTAAAAAACAGGTATTTAAAATAGCGAAATTTAATCTTTGGATCTGTGTAAGGCAATCCTAAAGCGCTCCTGAAAAAATGGAAAACGCTTTTGAGATACACAGATGAAGAACCAGGGAGTGGGAATGGACTCACATGCAATCAAGGCTACACTGTGTTCACAACAGATCAGAACATTCTTTACTAGTTTATGGGTGAAAGTACAACGACTTCGGCGACACGGGTCAGTCTCAGATACTCCAAACAAAGATGAAGACGGTTCCGTTATTTAACAAATTTTTGTTAGAGCTACTGCTGATACGATTCTAATGATTTGGTTTGCACAAGTGGGCCAATGCACTTTTTTTGCAGTCTGGCTGATAATTGCACTTGCATAAGCGCACACACTTGCCTGTGTGATACGCTCAGCTCTGGGAGCTGGTTCCATACCACCTGATGGCGTTTGCTCTTGGACTGCTTAAAGACTGGGCTCCGCTCCTTCCCCCTGCACTGCCAACTCGTGGCCAGGCTTCGTATCTCCCAATGCCACCCAGAGACACTAACCCCATTCCCACACCCACCTAAGTTGCAGAAAGAGTGAGGAAAGGAGGGCGAGGGGCAACACTGCGCGTGCGCACTGGCGCACGCAGGCGCAGCCTCTCTCCTTCCTTATGGGAGTGTGAGGCCAGTGTGACTCCACCCCAGCGTCGGCTGTCCCGCCCCTCCGAGGGCAAAAGAGGGATGCGATTGGGTCTGCAGGTTGTCCCTCACACCGGGCTCTCTTCTCCTCAACACAATTGGCGACCGGGGAAAAGGCCAGTCCGCTGTCGTCTGCCTCGCCTTCGGAGACTCGGCGCCACCGCGGAAGCCGCTATTGGCGGAGGGCAGGGGCCGCGACTGCTCACTTCCGGCGCGGGCTTCGACGATTTCTCCCCCTCCCCCGCCGTCGCCCTCAGCCTTCCCACCCCCCTCCCTTCCACCATGGCCTCCTGTGTGTGGTGTGGGGAAAAGCTGGTCCTCCGTGGTCTCCTTTAGCGCTTACTGCTTCAACTTCACCCCCTAGGGGCCGGATCAAAAGAAGCCTCTCTCCCCAGCCCTTGGGGCACCAATCAGGAAGGTTTCCTATCCCCTACTTCGGGGGCAGGACTCCTCGTTTCCCCCAACCTCTAGAGGCAGAAACTTAGGGTTTGCCCTCCTTCTCTTAGGGTCAGAAGCCAGAAAGGGCCCCCCTTCCACTTCAGGGGCGGAAGCTTCTCCTAGTCTTCCTCTAGGGACAGAGACCCTTACCGCACCATACTTCGGCGCTAAGGCTTTCCCTCAGCACTGCCACTCCAGAGGCAGGACCTAGAGGACCGTCCGCCTTCTCCCCCTCCGCAGGCGCGGCCTTCCGGAGAGGAGGCAGGAGTGGAGAGGACAGGGACCCTTGCCCTTCCCTCCCCCACGCTTTCCTCCTGCCCCCAGTCCCTGGCAGCCCAGAGTTCCCCATTTCTAGGATTTTCCACCCATCTACTCCCTGACCCTTTCCCGTCTCCTGTCTGCAGCCATGGAGTTACAGAAGGGAAAGGGAGCAGCAGCAGCAGCTGCTTCGGGAGCAGCGGGAGGTGGAGGAGGAGGAACGGGAGCAGGAGCCCCAGGAGGGGGGAGGCTGCTACTTTCAACCAGTTTGGATGCCAAGGATGAGTTAGAGGAGGTAGGTGTGGGGGGCGGGGAAGGGAGTTAAGAAATTGGGTTGAGGAGGGATACTGGGTGGGGTGGGGGAGGAGGACTTCAGGTTTTTTCTAAGGCCACACGAACACTGCTCCAGCTTCCTGAAGTGTGGGCCAACTTCCTGGACAGGTTGTTATAATAACAGCAGCCACTGGCATGAGAGTGGGTGGGGGGGGGTTGGTGGAGGAAGGAATACAGCATCCAGATTTACCGAATTTATTTTTGACATTCCTTTCCACATACACACTATTAGCTATTTTTAATATCAACCCTGTCTCAGACTTAGGTCATAATATTGAACTGAAAAGTAAAGTATGTATGTGTAGGTGTCTGGGACTGATAGGAACTTGTAACAGACCTTGGACCCTCCTGTTAGATGGTATCATTGACTTTGTGATGATAGCCAATTGCTAGTGATGTTAACTGGGCATTTAGAATGAGTGAAGACTTAAAAGTGAGTAGTGTTTAGTTCAGTAACATCAGCCACAGCAGTGGGGTGAAGGGGTGAATGGGACCTAGGGGACTCTCCTTCAGAACCAGGTAATACACACACAAAGGAGAGGAGAGAACACATAGGTGCTGAGAAAGGGTGGAGTGAGGCAATGCCATGGACCTGAATGGGGACTCTTAGGGATCCTGTTAGTTGCCCCTCTCCTTCCCTTCCCTCCTCCACTTGTTCTTCTTGCCCTGTCCCTGACTGCCCAGAGTTGATCATGTATCCCCTTCCACTACTACACACCAGGAGACACACTTAGAAATATGAGACCCAGAACTGGGACATGATTGCTGAACTGTTTGTAAGGCCAACATGATGGTTATTCAAGGACAGGATGAGTAAATTAACAGGTTCTGGCCCTTCACTGGCCATTTCTCTGCTTCTAACTTTGACACTGCTCTTTATCAGATACTAGAGGGTGGGCAGACATAGGTGAAACTCAGTTTGAAAAAATGCTGTTGGGCCACCCGGCCCGTGGCTCACTCAGGAGAGTGTGGTGCTGATAACACCAAGGCCATGGGTTCGGATCCCATATAGGTATGGCTGGTTAGCTCACTTGGGAGAGCGTGGTGCTGACAACACCAAGTCAAGGGTTAAGATCCCCTTACCGGTCATCTTTTTTTTTTTTTTTTGTCTTTTGTCTTTTTCCGTGTCCGGCAACGGATCGCAACCCTCAGTGTTGCCCCCGTACCGGACCGGGGACCGGCAACGGGATTGCAACCCTCGGTGTTTCTCCCGCGCCTCGCTCAGCCAGTGAGCGGGAACCGGTCTGCATGTGGGATCCGAACCCTCGGGCGGGAGCGCCGCCACGCTTCCCAAGCGGCGCACTTATCCAGTGCGCCACCGGGCCGGCCCTTACCGGTCATCTTTTTTTTTTTTTTTTTTTTTTTTTTTTTTTTTTT